CTGTAATGCTTGGCTATTGCTTTTCCCATGAATATTGCACCTGTGTTTTGTCTGATGTTCTGCCTGGTTCCCATGGCCTGGGCGCGCAACCGTTTCATTAGCCCGCCAGCGGGAAAGCTATTCATTGGATCTGTATCTGTTTGAAGTTCCTTTATTATGCTTGACCTAACTGTGTATCCCCAGTTCTAACAAAGAACGTGTTTGAGTATGTCTTCAACGCTTTGAAATAAATTTTGCTTTTCTTGAAAACGTGGATTTATTCTCGATGCTTGGGGATCCAACAAAGCCCTGCGAGGGATGGCTGGGGGATCTAGGAAGGGTCAGTCTGGAGCAGAGGAGGTTTTGAGGGGGGACAGGATGGCTCTCTTGAAGTACTGGAAGGGCTGTCTCCCTAAGAGGAGGGCAGGGAGCTGTTCCTGTGGGCAGCAGAGGAGGGGACTCGCAAGAAGGGGTTGAAATTAAGGGCGGGAACATCCCGGCTGGATCCTAGGAAGAACTTTTTGACAGTCAGAGTTGTGCCACAGTGGAATTGGCTGCCTCGGGAGGTGGTGAGCTCCCCCTCATGGGCAGTCTTGGTGCCAGTTTGGTGTCGTGGTTAAGTGCGTGGACTCTAATCTGGGAGAACCGGGTTTGATTCCCCACTCTCCCACTCGCAGCTGCTGGATGACCTTGGGCAAGCCGTAGTTCTGACAAGAGCTGTCCTTGAAAAGGAGCTGTTTCTGTCAAGAGCTCTCTCAGCCCCACCTACCTCACAGGGTGTCTGTTGTGGGGAGGGGAAGGGAAAGGAGTTTGTAAACCGCTCTGAGACTCCTTCGGGTAGTGAAGGGTCATGGGGTATAAATCCAATCTCTTCTCTTCTTCTTTAAGCAGCGGCTGGGCAAACACTTGTCAGGGATGCTCTAAGCTGATCCTGCACTGAGCAGGGGGTGGGACAAGGTGGCTTGTATGGCCCCTTCCAACTCTATGATTCTACCTCCACGAGCTAAGTATGCCCCCTTCCTTTGGAGACCTGGCTTTCAGAGCTGCAAAGTGGAGATGGGGGGGGAGGCTTGGGGGCACCCTCCAACTGCCTGCCTCACCCTAGGTGGCCAGAATATGAGGCTTGGTGTAGCCCAACACAAGGGCTGATGGCCCAGGGAGAGGACTGCTTTGGCGTGGTGGGGGGGAGGACTCATCTGTTGGAGGGGGTGGTCCTCTCGTGCCCCACAGGCCTGGCTTTATGCGGAGGGGGGGTGGCTCTGTGGCAGAGCACCTGCTTGGCATGCAGAAGGTCCCAGGTTCAGTCCTTGGCAGCGTCTCCAGTTAAAAGGACCGGGCAGCGAATGACGTGAATGGCCTCCGCCTGGGACCCTGGAGAGCCGTTTGCCAGTCTGAGGAGAGGAGACTGACTGTGGTGGACCCAGAGGGTCTGATCCAGGCGTACGGTGGCTTCATGTGGGAGCAGGCTGGCTCATGGGTCACAAGAGTGCTCTCCTTAACAGGGCAGCGGGAAAGGTGGTTGTGACCAAGTCACTCCGAACTCCTCTTGAAAGGACACCACCCCTCCCGGCAAAAATATATTTATCTATCTGTCCAGGCACTGGTCATGTTGCCTACGCCCCCAACGGAGTCTCTCCCCACTGCTCTCACTCTTTGGGGGCATCAATAGTGTGTCCGAGTTGGGGGGGGGGGAGGAGACTCTGGCGTATCTGGCTGATGGCCTGGTGTGCTTTGCCCCTCCAGCTGTGGACAGGACCTCAGAGCGGGGATCCTTCTCTGCTCCAGAATGGAAGAAGCCGGAGGCGGCTCCGGACACGCTGTGGAAGTGGCTGTGCTCGCCCCGTCCCGTGTTCCCTCTACGCTGAGCTAGTGTGCGCTAGCTCACAGTTGCTTAGCCTCCGGCTCACACATTTTTTGCCTTCGCTCAGGAAGGAGGGCTCCAGAGTACACTAATGTATGCAGTAGGCAAATCGCTCACTCACAACTTCAATGCCAGGAGCTCACAAAGTCGAATTTTTGCTCACAAGACTCCACAGCTTGGAGGGAGCATTGCCCCCCCCCCGGCAACCACAAGGTCATTCCTCAAAGCAACAAGGGCAGAGAGCCAATCTCCCTCCCTTTTGGGCTTTTAACTTTAAACAGCAGCCCCCGTGGGGGGAGCAGTTCAGACCAAGGCGTGGCGGGTGCTCGTCTTCCCCACCTGTGATGTGCTTTTCTCTTTTCTTGGCAGGCAGGGGCTGCTGTCTGCTCTAAGGCAAGCGCTTTTCCCCACAGAGTCGGTGCCATCCGTTGAGATGGTGGAGAGAGAAGGGAGGGGGTTGACCTCCCCCCACCAACTCAGGGCCCCAGTCTGAATCCTCTACCCCAGGGGTGTCGAACTCATTTGTTACGAGGGCCGGATCTGACTTAAATGAGACCCTGTTGGGCCGGGCCACGTCTGTGTCACAAAAGGTAACGCCAGGGAGCGGAGATATAAACTTGATAAAGGACAGACACACAATTAAAGATTTTTTAAACCTTAAATAACACATTTCCAGTGAGTCTGACACCCCTGCTCTACCCCTTCCCTGAGTCTGCTGGGGGGGGGGGGGGAAGGGCGGAGCAGGACCCTGTCCAGAGATTGCCCACCATCGAGGTTCTGCCACCGCGGCTTTTCTGGACCAGCAGCACTGGAGACATTCCACAGCCTCCCCCCTCTTCAAATCCAAGCAAGTTCAGCACTCACTGACACGTCCCCACGACCTGCCAAGGCGTTTCTCCATGCCGGGGTTCATTCAGCACCTAGAAAGGAGATGTTGCTGATAGGCCGGGGCGACTGGGGCCACTCCTAGAGAGGGAGCCCTCTGTGTTGCGAAAGGCAAGGTCTGGCGTACAAAGGAGAAGACCCTGCAGGGGGCGGCCAGAAGACAATGAGAGAGGACAGGAGGTCAGCACCTTCTCTCACATGTTAAGTCTCATTCCCCCGTCTGTCTCCAGATTGCTACTCTCGGGGCGATTCCCCCCTTCTTCTCGGAAGTGCCACACTCAGTCTTACCTATCCTATCCTATCCCTATCCCTTTCCTATCAAGTATGTTAAATCCTAAATAAACCTTTATCTACCCAGGTTGTGCACGGTTGCTGTGTTAATATTAGGATTACTAGGAAGGGAATGGAAAACAAATCAGCCAGTATCATAATGCCCCGGTATAAATCGATGGTGCGACCTCCTTTGGAGTATTGTGTACAATTCTGGTCACCACAGCTCAGAAAGGATGTTATAGCTTTGGGAAAAGGGCAACTTGAATGATAAAAGGGTTGGGACACTTTCCCTATGAGGAAACGTTAAAGCGCTTGGGGCTCTTTAGCTTGGAGAAATGACGACTGAGGGTAGACATGATCGAGGTTTATAAGATTACGCATGGGATAGAGCAGGTAGAGAAAGAAGTCCTTTTCTCCCTTTCTCACAATATGAGAACTCAAGTGGGCACTCCATGAAACTGCTGAGCGGTTGGGTTAGAATGGATAAAAGGAGGTACTTCTTCACCCAAAGAGTGATGAACACATGGAATTCACTGCCACAGGAGGTGGTGGCGGCTACAAGCATGGACGGCTTCAAGAGGGAATTATTGTTTTTTGATGATTTTATGGGATTTTGTTATCTATATATTATGTAAAACGTTTTCATGAATGTAAGGTGCCCTGAGCCTGCGTACCGGGGAGGGCAGGGTATACGTTGAATAATAAATAAATAAATAAATAAATAAAATAAGCATATGGATCAGAGGTCCATCAGTGGCTCTTAGCCACAAGGAACTCTAATCAGGCTGGGGCAAGTGATGCTCCGTATTCTTGGTGCTTTGGGGGGGGGGCAACAGTGGGAGGGCTTCTAGTGTCCTGGCCTCACTGCTGGACCTCCTGATGGCCCCTGGTATTTTTGGCCACTGTGTGACAGAGAGTGTTGGACTGGATGGGCCACTGGCCTGATCCAACACTGGCTTCTCTTATGTTCTTATAGGAACTCTCAGTCTGGGGCAAGGGATGCTCTGCCTTCTTGGCGCTGGGGGGGGCAACAGTGGGGGGGCTTCTAGTGTCCTGGCCCCACTGCTGGACCTCCTGAGGGCACCTGGTATTTTTGGCCACTGTGTGACACAGAGTGTTGGACTAGGTGGGCCACTGGCCTGATCCAACATTGGCTTCTCTTATGTTCTTAATTACTCTGCCAATAGCCTACACGGCTCCCAGCACACACAGACACCACTGGAGCTGAGAACAGGGTTCAAAGCAGGCCTGTGGCTACCATGGGGGGCATCTCGGGGCTAGGCCCCCTGACTTACTGCCTAGGCCCCCTGACCTCCCATCCAGCCCAGAGCCCCCGAGTGGCGGCGGGTGCGGGCAGAAGCCAGGTCTTCCTGCACAGCCGTCTGGCACGAAGGGCTGGCTACGGTGGCTGCACAGAGCCAGAGAGCACCTCTCTATTCCCCCCATAAAGTCTATTTAACTTTAATTAAATTACCTTGAATTCGATTCGCCAGTGCCCCCTAAGAAATTTAAATGCCCTCCGACTAAAAAAAACCCCTGGCTGCGGGACTTGGTTCCAAGGGGAGGCTGGGCACCCACCACACCCTCCTGGGACCCCTCCAGCTGAGCATGCTCCCCCCCACCCCAGATGTGAAACTGGACCAGCCCCCCCCTGCCAGCAACGGCTCCTTTCTATGTGTTCACACAGGGCCCTCCGAAAAGACAACTGTCACAGGGAGGTGGGGGGGGGAGCTGCCACAATGAACAGAGGAAGGGGTTGGGGAGGGAGAGGAGGTCAAGCCCCCCCCCCCCCGGGCAGAGGGAGGCTGGCCACAGACTGTGCAGAGAGGGAACCCAGGCAAGACGGGGGGGGGGTCCTTCCCTTTCCCAGCAACTCGATCCCTCCGGGGCCCAGCGAGATCAGCCCCCGCCTTTGGAGAGGTACCCACAGCCCAGGGGGGGCTCTTGCCAGGAGCGAAAGAGAAAGGAAGGACAGGAAGACCACAGTGGGGCGGTGGAGGGTCTGAGATCTTTATTGAGGGTCTCACATGACAGTTCCGACATGCAGGAAGTGAGGCAGGGCCTCGGGCCGGGGGTCTCCACGCAGCCAAGCTTCTGCCCCTCCTGGGCCCACACCCGTCGCCGTCCACTTAGCTCTCCTCGAAGCAGCCCCGCCGGTGCCACTGCTGGTCCCGGACGCGCCGCATAGACTGGATCAGGGGCTGGCTGGCGTCCCATTCGTTCCAGTGCCGGTATTCGCCTTTCTCGAAGACATACTGCCGGCCACGGTACCCGGGGTATTCGTAGCCCACCCATCTGTGCGGCCGGAGAGACAAGGGCAAGAGGGACCTCGGTCAGCCACTCCAGTGGGAGAGCCCTCTGCCCCCCCCCAGCCCCAGGACGCCTCCTCTCACTCCAGTGTGGAGAACGGCAAGAACACGGCTCCTCCGACAACACGGAGCAGGGGAAGAATCGGGATGTGACCATCCTGTCCTGGTTCCCGCTGTACTCTGCTACGACTGCCCGCACCATGCAAGCAGGGAGATTTGCCAGAGATTCTGAATACTGAAATTTAGCACCCCACCCATCTTTCTCCAGCATTGCACTTATACCCCCCTCTCCACCATCGCCAATTTTATGACTGCATCCGCTGCTGCTAAATCCCCCTGTGGTTGCATTCCTCTTTGCTCTGGGCTATCCTGGGACCAGAAAGAGAGTCAACCGTCTTCGGGCTCTGCCTGGCTATCCTTTTTCCCAAGAAAGTTACTACCTTGATGGATCAGGGGAATGCTGTGGACATAGTTTATCTTGATTTCAGCAAGGCTATTGATAAAGTTCCACATAATATTCTTGCTGACAAATTGGTAAAATGTCGTTTGGATCCTATGACTGTTAGGTGGATCTGTAACTGGTTGACAGATCGCACCCAAAGAGTGTTTGGGAATGGTTCCTCATCCTCTTGCAGAGGAGTGACAAGTGGAGTGCCTCAAGGATCTGTCCTGGGACCAGTTTTGTTCATCATCTTTATCAATGATTTGGATGAAGGGATAGAGGGAATGGTTATTAAATTTGCAGGTGATACTAAATTGGGAGGGGTAGCAAATATGGTAGAAGACAGAGTCAGGATACAGGATGATACTGACAGGCTGCAAAACTGGGCTAAAACAAATACAATGAATTTCAACAGGGATAAATTTAAAGTTCTGCATTTAAGTAGGAAAAATCAAATGCATAATTATAGGATGGGGGAGACTTGTCTTGGCAGTAGTATGTGTGAAAAGGATCTAGGGGTCTTAGTAGACCATACACTGAACATGAGTCAGCAGTGTGATGCGGTAGCTAAAAAGGCAAATGCCATTTTGGGCTGTATCCACAGAAGTGTAGTGTCCAGATCACACAAAGTGACTGTATTGCTTTACTCTGCTCTGGTTAGACTTCACCTTGAGTATTGTGTTCAGTTTTGGGCACCACAATTTAAGAAAGATATAGACAAGCTGGAACATGTCCAGAGGAGGGCAACGAAGATGGTGAGGGGTCCGGAGACCAAGTCCTAAGAGGAAAGGTTGAAGGAGCTGGGTATGTTGAGCCTGGAGAGGAGATGACTGAGAGGTGAGATGATCACCATCTTCAAGTACTTAAAGGGCTGTCAAGCGGTTCCTCAATGGAACAGGCTTCCTCGGGAGGTGGTGGGCTCTCCTCCTTTGGAGGTTTTCAAGCAGAGGCCAGATGGCCACCTGACAGCAATGTCGATTCTGTGAACTCGGACAGATCCTGAGGGCAGGACGGGATGCATCAGTGCTTAGTTCTCGTGGCCCTTTCTTACACGCCCAGGGAAATGCTTATCACCACGTTGGGGTCAAGAAGCAATTTTTCTCCAGGCCAGTTTGGCCGGGGAAGAAAGAAGGGTTTTTTTGTGTGTGTGTTATCTTCTGGTGATGGAGTGGAGGAGTCACTGTGTGTGTGTGTGTGTGTGTGTGTGTGTAGGTATTTGTGAATTTCCTCACTTGTGCAGGGGGTTGAACTAGATGACCCTGGAGGTCCCTTCCAACTCTATGATTCTATGATTCTATGCCAGCCCCAGGGAAGGCATGATAGTTATGCAGGCAAACCTGATACAGAATGTTCCTGTCCCGCGGGACAACCTGGGCCCCTTCACCCCTGCTGCCCCCCCCCCAGTTCAGGCAGCATGGGGGCGCCAAGGGGGAGCAGGAGTTTAGTCGCCAGTCTTGGCTTCTGGGCATCCGGGCAAGCAACTCCGGGCCTTGCTGTCCCGAGGGAAGCAGCTGCGCCCAGGACTCCCCTTGGAAAGCCCCCCTCCTTACATTCCGTCCAGGGCCTTGACGCTGGCCACGCGGTCATGGAAGCCGTGCGACCACAAGCTGGGGACGTCGTCCTCCACAATCTCCATCTTCCTCCCTCCGTAGCCGGAGTTCTCAAAGAGGTGGATCTTGTGATCGGCGCTGTCCTGTGGGAGGGGGAGAGAGAAGCAGTACGGGGGTGGGGTGGGGGCTCCGTGATGCCCCCACGTCCTCCGCAGCATGAGAGGCACCAGCGTGGCACGCTGCGCCGTGCTTCACAAGCTCCGGGGTTTTTGCCCTCCGGCATTTACGATAAGTGAGCATCTCGCAGACGGGAGCCTGAGGCGGAGAGCGAGTGACTTGCCCAAGGCTACCAGAGTGGTCCCGGGCAGAGGGCTCCCTGCAGGAGCTCCGGCACCGGAGGGGGGTGGGGTGGGGAGAGCCCGGAACGACTTACAATTGGGAGGGGCCGGATGGAGAGGAGGCTGTCGCTGCCGTGGCTGTTGGACCAGGTGTCCCAGCGTGGGTAGTCCCCCTTCTCCAGCACAAACTGCTCCCCGCTGAACGCCTGCCGCTCAAAGCCCAGCCACCTGCCGGAGACAAGCCAGAGTCGACCGGGAGGCCCCCACGACACCACAGCCCCCATTCCGCAGCAGCCGAACACGGACCGGGGCCCAGAATTCAGGACCCCAAGAAGCACAACTTTTTGTTTAACACGAAGCAAGATCAGCTACTCACCTGTGAAGGGGAGCAGTGTGTGGGTGTGTGAAGTGGGGTGTGTGTGTGTGTCCAATTCGCACACAAAACTGGGCAGTGTGAGTGACAGGTGTCAACCTTCCCCCTCCCCTCCCCCCCATTGAAGGAGTCCTTTCATGGCTGGAAACCTTGTTGAAATCACCTACTCTGTGGCCAGCCAGTCCTTTCCTGATACGCGCTCCTGCGCTGGGCCCTCATAGGCTCCGCCGCTCTCCCTGATTTCCTTCAAGGATGTGTGGGGGGCGGGCAAAAGCCTGTGCTTGCCCAGGTGCAAGCACCGGTCTTGCCCACCCACCCCTTGAATGAAACACATACACAACAGATGGGTTATGTTGTTATTGTTGTTGTTCAGTCGCACAGTCGAGTCCGACTCTTCACGCCCCCATGGACCAGATCCCGCCAGGCCTTCCTGTCTTCCGCTGTCCTCTGAAGTTGGCTCAATTTCATGTTCGTTGCATCGATGACACTGTCTAACCATCTCCTCCTTTGCCGTCCCCGTCTTCTTTGACCTTCAATCTTTCCCAGCATCAGGGTCTTCTCCTCCAGGGAGTGCTCCCTTCTCATTGGGTGGCCAAAGTCTTTGAGCTTCAGGTTCATTATCTGGCCTTCCAGGGAACAGTCAGGGTTGATTTCTTTGAGGATTGACTGATCTGATCTTCTTGCAGTCCAAGGGACTCTCAAGAGATGGGTTATACTGGGTATTTATTTATGTACAAGCTGATCTGCCTCAATTACATCCAATTAAGCACGGTTCATCTTACGCCTGCGAAGCAGGTTTCCTCATGGCAACCCACCCCAGCTCAGAGCCATGTCTGGAATCCTTCTGTGGCCCACTCGTCATGGCCCACATGTCATATGCATAGAGGAGATGTGGGAGCCCACCCCAACCCACAGCTGCTTGGTGTACGCTCCCCTGTCCCGGGAGATATCTAGGGGTGCTTGCCGACACAAACAACCCCCCCTCGACCCCGTGCTTTTCCGCCACTGAGGGGGTCAGCCTTGGCTTCACTCCCCTCCCGCCGTCTTCCAGACAGGCTGCAGAAATTGGTGCTGTGAACAGCAGAGCCCAGCAAAGGGGGGGAGGGGCAGAGGGCTCACTCCCCCCCTCTGCTTCTGGGGGAATGGAATTGCCACCCCCCACGTCACTTTCAGCCTCTGGTCCCTTTGAAGCACCCTGAGCGCACCCCCCGCCCGCCCAGCCCGTGTCTAGATCGACAGGGCAGGCTCACTGGGAATGCTGCGTGCCCATCTGGTCACGGAAAGTCAAAAACGATACCGCAGGGCTGGGAAAAGTACCGAAGAGGGGAATCACAAAGATCGAGGGGTTGGAGCACCTGGGAAGGCTTCCAGTGTTCCCTCTAAGCTGTGGAGTCCTGTGAGCAAAAACTCTACTTTGTGAGCTACCGGCATTAAAGTTATGAGTGAGCGATTTGGTTGTTGCATAAAGTAGTTTGCTCTGGAGCCCCCGCCTTCCCGAGCGGAGACAGAAATGTGTGAGCCGGAGGCTAAAAATCTGTGAGCTGGCTCACACGAACTCAGCTTAGAGGGGACACTGCTGCAGAGTCAGGGTCTTTTCAGTTGGCCAAGGAAGGACTGCAAAGGAAGGAAGCGAGAGAGGCCTATAAATCTATGGAGTCCAGAAAGTGAAGAGAGGGACTTACTTCTCCCTCTCCCACAGCACTGGGACCTGAGGGGAGGCTCGGTTAAGTTGTTGGGAAACAGGTTCAGGGCGGAGGAAAGGAAACACCTATTTGCTCAGTCATTAAACTGTGGGATTCACCACCAGTGGAGGTAGGGATGTCCCCAAGCACAGATACTCTTCAAAGGGGGCCGGACACCTTCGTGGGCGCAAAGTTCCATCCATGGCTCCTAGCCACAGGGCCTGAAGGGAGCCTCCACTTTCAGAGGCAGTCAACCTCCGCATCATCCGGGGAAGGCCTCAGCCTCCATGCCCTGTCTGCTGTCCCCTCCAAGGCAACTGTTTGGTCCCTGCATGAGACAGGATGCCGGACTGGATGGAGCACAGGTCTGAATCCCTGCCCATAGCTGACTTCACTCGGGGGGCAAGAGAGGTTTTGTAGCTGCAGGACCTTTCCTGGCACCTCCCTTCTTGTCTCACCCACAAGGGTCAAGGACTGTGAGGACCCATGCACACACCCCCCCCCCCAACGATAAGCCTCTAATGAACGAGCTCTACCAATTGCTGAACACACCACCGGCTAGCTGGCCAGAAGCCCAAGGCAGGGGCTAAAACGCAAGCCGAGCTCAAACTCATCCGGCTCCCTCTACTGGTGCTTCCCTGCCAGGGCACCCGGGAAAGGGCAGGCTTTTAAGAGCAGGGTTCCTAGTCCTCGGGACAGCGGAGGGGTACGCCCCCTTGACCCCCTGCCCACCCAGCAGACCGATACTCACGGGCCGGACTCCACCCGGAGAGAGCCCACTTTCTCCAGCTCCTCCGCCAGATTGGGACTCTCGGCGGTCAGTTCATATTTCCTGCCTTGGAAGTTCTCCATCTCGTAGAGGGTGACCTAGGAGGGCAGACGGGATGAAGAGCTTACAGCCACCTGTGGGCCACGGAGCCATGCGACTAGGGCCAGTTTGGTGTCGTGGTGAAGTGCGCGGACTCTAATCTGAGAGAGCCGGGTTTGATTCCCCCACTCCTCCTCCACTTGCAGCTGCTGCTGTGTCCTTGGGCAAGCCGTAGTTCTGATAAGAGCTGTTCTTGGAAAAAAAGCGGTTTCTGTCAAGAGCTCTCTCAGCCCCGCCTACCTCACAGGGTGTCTGTTGTGGGGAGGGGAGGAGAAAGGAGATTGTAAGCCACTCTGAGACACCTTTCGGTTGTGAAGGGCCACGGGGTATGAACCCAATCTCTTCTCTTCTTCTTGTGGCGCCCCAGGCCGAGCTGCAGCCGGAGGAGAGAGAGAGGCGGTGCGGTTGCCCAGTTCCTCCATCCCGGGACCAGCTGCTGGCCTGGCCAGATCGGGCAGCCTTTGGCCCTCCCCCGCACGGGGCGAACGACTGAAGAGCCCCCCCCTTTGCCCGTCTGTTTAGTGGCGGCCAGGGCGACCTCCAGCCTCTGCCAGGTCATCACTAAACGCCATAAAGTCGCGATGCGACTTGTGGCGACCCCATGAAGTTCCACCTGACGGGGTGTTCAAGGCGAGGGGCGTACGGAGGTTACCTGGCCTGCCTCTGCCTCGCAACCTCGGACGTCCTGGGGGGCACGGTCTCCCATTCAAGAAGTGACCGGGACCAACCCTGCTTAGCTTCCAAGCTCTAGCCTGAGCTCTTGAGACTGCAGGCAAGTTTAGAAAAGGAGTCTAGTCAGAGACACCCAAGGAGAAGTGCAGAGTCCCCAGGGCGCCGGAGGAGGGTGCCTCCTGCTCCCCTCCCTGCGCCCCATCCGAGGCCTGCTGCCGCCTCTCCAACCAGGACTGGGGGGCACGAGGGTAAAGGGCCCACCTTGGCAGTCTGTGCTGTGTGCCAGTAGCGGTGGGGAGAAGGGATGCTTCTCAAATCAGGTTAGTCATTAAGTGCCTTAATTGATTTCAAAGGCTGTCCACCCACACACCTCCTTGAGGGGTGAAGGTGGCGATGAAGAATCTAAATGGAAAAACCCAGGCCGGTTCCACACCCTGGCACATAGCAGAGGCAGCTGGGCTGCAGCCACGGAGTCTTCTAAGAGCTAAGAAGAAGAAGAAGAAGAGATTGGATTCATACCCCACGACCCTTCACTACCCAAGGGAGTCTCAGAGCGGCTTACAAACTCCTTTCCCTCCCCCTCCCCACAACAGACACCCTGCAAGGTGGGTGGGGCCGAGAGAGCTCTTTCGAGAACTGTCCTTGAGAGAACAGCTGACAGAACTACGGCTTGCCCAAGGTCATCCAGCAGCTGCAAGTGGAGGAGTGGGGAATCAAACCCCGTTCTCCCAGATTAGAGTCCGTGCACTTTACCACGACACCAAACTGTAGCTAAGAGAAAGAAGGAGCTGGGCAGAGCTCAACAGGAACGGCCTGGGCCGGGGGGGGGGGGGTGTGGCTCAGGGGGTTGTGCGCGGAATGTCCCAGGTTCAATCCCCAGCAGCATCTCCAGGTAAAAGGACCAGACAGGAGGAGGTGTGGAAGGCCTGGAGAGACCCTGGAGAGAACCTGCCAGTCCGAGTGGACGATCCCGACCTTGATGGACCGAGGGGTGTGTGTGTGTCTGACTCAGCAGGAGGCAGCGTGCCTGTCCTGGGTCGCTCCGTGCTCACAAAAGCAGTGCCCTCAATATGCCCATCCATCTTTAAGGAGCCATGCTATGCCTGCTGCAACAAACTGAGCAGACCAAAGCCATGCAAAGAGGCCTGGGCCCCGGAATGGCAGCCTTCCTGCTGGCGAGCGGTCCCCTGCCCCTGGAGCAGAGCGGGAGGAGGGGCAGATGCCGATGCCAAGTTAGGCCAGGTACTTCTGCAGGAGGAGGAGGATGTGGGCTGCCCCCCCCCCAGCTTTCCCGTTCGGCGTGTCGCTTCAGGCCTCAATGGAAAGGCTTCCTCCCTCTTGGCTGCTTTGGAGAAGGCGGCAGGGAGCAAACAGCTGGCGGCAAGCCCCCAGCTCCTCCGCCTCTCTGGGGGCTCAGGGTGCGGGCACGGGCACGCATGGCATAGGGGGGTAAAGAAGGGGAGGAAGAGAATCAAACCTTTGCCAAGGACTGGCTGCGCACGCCCTACCTTGAAGTTGTGCCCCGCTTCTTCCATGCTCTCGGCAGCCGCTGCCTCCCCGGGTGGGCTCTGCTGTTCGGCCATGGTGCCTGCATCCCACCCACCCACCCCCAGATGCCAGGCGGTTAGTGCTTTGCCTTCAAGGAGGAACGCCTGCTCTGCCAAAGACTCCTGTTTTGGTCAAACCTCACCGGAAGGCTGGAGAGAGTCCCTGACTTTGGCCACACCCCAGTGAGCATCTGGACTGGAAGGGGAACCTGCAAAGAGCTGAGCCAATGGAGGAGAGCCCCCCCCTTCCGCCCACCCCCCCCCCGAGCAGAACCCAGAGAGAAGGGCCACAGGTCACCAAGGCTCCCTCGAAGCCCTGGAGTCTCGTGAGCAAAAATTCTCCTTTGTGAGCTCCTGGCATTTAAATTGTGAGCGAGCAATTTGGCTGCTGCATCAATCAGTTTGCTCTGGAGCCCTCCTTCCTGAGCGGAGACAAAGATGGGTGAGCCGGAGGCTAAAAAATGGTGAGCTGGCTCACACTAGCTCAGCTTAGAGGGAACACTGCACGTCACTCAATGCCAGCCTGCGTTGTGGGGCTGAGGACCGGGGGAACTCTCTCCACATGCCTGCCCAGGCCTCTTGCAGTGTGGGGCAGGCCTCCCGCAGGGTACACCCCCTGTCGTGTCCTGGCAGCAAATGATGCATGACTTGCATGTGAGCCTCCTGCCCCCCCCCCGCTCCTATGCAGCCCCTCTTCTCTCTGTAGGCAACCTCCCCCCACCCCCAAACCGAGCACGGGGAGGAATGCAATTCCAGCAGCCTTGGAGATTGTGCTTCTGTGGCCTGGCCATTCGGATGCCCCTCGCCCACCCAGGAAGTGCCAGGCCTCCCACCCACCCCTGGGGCCGTGACAGGAGAACTTAAGTTACAGGGCGGGGGGGGGGGAGCCTCAACCTCTCCCTTCCCCTCTTCCGTGGGGCAAGAGGCCCCCAGAGTCCACCCCCCAGAAGTGCTTGATTCACCCAGCAGAACCACTGCTAAGCCGGCTGGGGCTGTGGGCGTCGGGACCCCTCCTACCTCCTCCTCCGCTCGGACAGCACTGGAGGCTCCGACAGGCCGGCCAGGCAGACGGGCCGCGCTATTTATGGGGCCGTCTCCGCCCGCAGCAGGGCTTTGGGGGGATGCTGAGGCAGCAGCTGCCCGATTTCGCTTCAATCGTGAGGGCTCCACGCCACAATACGGGCCCATTGTGCAGGGCTCTCCGGGCTGCGGTGAGGGCGGATTAGCAGGCGGGGAGGCGGCCGGTCCGCATGTTGGCTCTGCTCCTTGCCCGAGCCGCGTGAAACTTCTGGGTCAGCAGCTCTCCCAAGTGTTTGGCCAAGGGCCAAGCTCCGGCCGGCTCCCTCCCGGCACATTCCGGGGGTGGGGAGATGCCCCCCAGGGCATGGCGCTTGGAGCTCCCGGCCTGCTCCGCTTTGAAGGCAGACTCCTCAGCATCCATGTCCGGCTTCCAGAAACCGTTCCTTCCCAACGGTGGAAACTGGTTTGTGCCAGAGAGGCGCTGAGTGGCTCCAGTCAAGGAAGAGAGCAGGCGAGCGAGAGGGGTGCTTCCTAAAGCGGCAACAGAGCGGGGGCGGCAGTTCCTCTTCCGCAGGGGGCCGAAGTGCCGGACGGCCAGCGTGGCGATGCGCAGGCAAGCAGGCCACTCTGCGTTTTTATGGCCTAGGACAGCAGCCCCCAACCTCTTTGGACTTCTGGCCACTCCTGGGATTCTGACACAGCAAAATGTCTGCTTGCAGGAGACGGAGCCGTGCACAAAATGGCTACCACAGGAAGCAGAACCAGCCCCCGCATGCCCGGGAGCAAGGTTCCGGTCCATTCTGCCAGTCACTCCTCAGCGTTCCACACAGAAGAGCTCTGTTTACCTGGACACCTTTTAATCCACAGAGCCAATCAGAAGCCCTGTTGGATCAAAGCCCCACCCAGCTCCGCCCACTTTCTAAAATCACCTGGTGGCCAAAAGGGCGGGTGTTTTGGGTGCCCATGGGCACCATGTTGTGGACCCCAGTCTGGAAACATCTCCAGGCCTCACTGGCCGTGGCCCTGTTCCCATGGCTCCCCTGCCTAGGGCTGGCCAATCTCCAGGTGATATAGCCAAAAGGGAGAGATCACGGGAGGAGGTGGAAGCCCAATCAAAACATCCGTGATAAGAACAACAAAGAGTCAATAAAGAGATATATGCAGAAATGTTTATTGTATTAATTAGAATTCTGTTGGAAACTCTTCTTTTATCGCTCACACACAATGGATTTTCGTGCAATTAAAAAATACCCGTTTCACAAGGATTGCTTTATCTGAGCGTGTAGCGTTTACAATTCTTATCCATTACCACTGATCAACTCTTGAAATAAACATCCCATGCTGACTCTCTAATATCCGAACCCATGGGATATTCATTTCAAGAACGGGTAAGTGGAAATGGATAAGAATTGTAAACGCTACACACTCAGATAAAGCAATCCTTGTGAAACGGGTATTTTTTTATTGCGCGAAAATCCGCTGCGTGTGAGCAATAAAAGAGAGTTTTCCACAGAATCCTAATTAATTCAGTAAACATTTCTGCATATCTCTCTTTATTGACTCGGTTATTTTTGTCACGGATGTTTTGATTGGACTCCAATCTCCAGGGGATGGCTGGGGATGTCCCACAATGACAACTGATCTCCAGGTGACAGAGATACGTTCGCCTGGAGAAAATGGCTGCTTTAAGAAGGCGGACTCTGTGGCAGTGTATAGCACGGAAGCCCCTCCCCTCCCCAAACCCCACCCACCTTAGGCTCCACCCACCAAATCCCCAGGTATTTCCCAAGGTGGAGCTGAAAACCCTCATCTCGCCTGTCCATTTTAGAGGAGAAAAACAGGTCAGATATCAGCCGCCCCCCAGATCCCTTTGCCCTTCCAAGAGAAGAAATCCTGGGACCCAAAGGACCAAAACCTGAGAAGGCAAAGAGGCCCCTCCCTCCCTCCCACATGGCTCTCCCGTTTTTCTTCCTTTCCCCAAAGCCACAGGCAGGAGTGGGAGAATGAGGAAACCTGACCAGGGGCTGCTGTGGGGCACTCTTTGCTGCACGACCCCGGCTAGCTGGTGGACGATCCACAAGGCCTCCGGCTAAGCAACAGCCTCCCCTGCACCACTGTTAGCAAAACGGATCCACAGGGCCCCACCCCTTAGACGGCGAACTGAATGATCCAAATGAAGACAGACTTTCAACAGTGTCTTTCGGAAGGTCTTGTTTTTAATCATAGTGAAAGTTCAAACATTTCTTTGTAGTAAAACTATAGAATCTGAGTGCCCTGCCCTAAGCACAAAGGAGGGACCGGGGGGGGGGGCACAGAGCCGGAGGGGCCTGCCCGGACCCCAACTCAAGCCCATCGGCTCACCGGGGAAGTCCAACCTGAGCTTCCCGCACATGGCCAGCGCCCCGCCCCTCGGGCAGCAAGGAGATGCTGTTGGCCTGCACGAGGCCCCCCCAGCGGGGGCTGCTGCCGCCAAGGGGTGGGAGGGGGTGGGAGGGGAGGCAGTTGTGCGTGCGCATGTGTGCATGTGCTCAGTAGTGTCGGAGGGAAAATGGCTGACGTACACTTTACAGGTAAGAGGAAAATCACACAGGAGCATAAAACAAAATACAGTAAAACAGACACTTAAAAAACACACACGCACACACCAGCTAATGAAATGCAAGATGGCCAACGCCGTCAGGAACATCTTGGTGTTCACATGAGGACACATCACACCAACAAACATCTCACACACACACACACTGGGCAAAAGAATGCCAAAGAGACCCTCACTAAGCAAGCAGGCAGCAGCAGCAGGCGTTATGAAGGAAGGAAGGGAAGTAAAGGGAAGGGAAGGGCTGGCCGACAGCATCTCTTGAACTTTCAGAGGAACAGCCCCCCCCCACACACACACCAGTGCAGAGAGGGCTGCTTAGCAGCAGAGAGGACCCAGCATCACGCGCACCAGGGGGGTGCATGCGAGGGCCATGCATGAAAAGGACAAAGCACTAAGCTTTGGAATACATTCTTGGTTCCAGGAACAAACTATATGGGGGTGGGGTGGGGGTGGGGCGAGAGAGACACACAAGATTGCTGGCATCTTTGGAAAAGTTCTGGTTCGGGGAGGGCATGGGGCGGGGACCTGCGCAGGACGGACTGCGGCCACGTCCCCCGCCCCGGGAGCTCCACGGGGCTCTGAGGCGCAGGCGGAGCTCACCGGGGAGCAGAGCGGCCGCTTCCCGAGGGGAGTGAGGACAAAGCTCCCTTGGTGGGCGAGCGTCCAGGCCGGGATGGGGGGTGGGAAGAAGAGGGGACGGGAGGAGCCCGGACTGCCGGCCGAGTGGGACAGCGGCCTCTTCCTCCTCACGGATTGGCATGAGCTTGGTGGAGGCTGAGAGTCAGAGGGTGGTGCCCAAGCTTGCCCCCGCGCCGGCAGCCCGCCCCCCCACCCTCCGCAGGAGGACCAACTTCCATTCCCAAGTTTTGGCGTGGACAGATTCAGCCTTCCCCGAATTCTGCAGTCCACCGTGGGGGGCCTGGCCGGGAGGGAGGGAGGGCAGGGGGGCTCTGATACGAGGAAAGGAAGCAGTATTGGGCTCGGTTCCCTCATGTGGGGAAATCTCGCGGGTGAGGGGGTGAGAACTCCTGTCGCTCTTCCTTGTTTACTTGCTCTAACTTTCTTTCTTTCTTTCTTAGTTACAATCATAGATCAGTCACGATTGACACTCATTGTTATCAGCACATTTGCAAACAATACAATTCCCAGGCAGCCTGGCAGGCTGATTTCAATAGTAGAGACAATGAATAAGAAGATTTGACCAGCTGTTTCCTTCTTGGTCTTGCCGAGGGGCGACATTTGGCCATACTTGCTCTAACAAAGATGCTCCTAGAAGACTGCGGCGGTGGGGAGGGGGGCGAGGGTCAGAGACCCGGCCACAGAAGACAGACAGGTGGGGGCCTTTGTGTAGCCACACTTCACCTTGGCCGCTTCAGGACACGTCTTTAGAGAGCCCCGCCACGCAGGGAGCGGAAACTGCCTCCAGTGACCACTAGGGGGCCACAGAGAGCAGAGCCAGCGGGCTGGGTGCTTCCCTTGGCCTCCTCCACAGGGGGGGACACACAGTCCGAGAGCGGCGGCACCTTTAAGAGCAGCAAAGTTCAATTCTGGGCGGAAGCTTTCGTGTGCGTGCACACTTCCTCAGATGACATCCTCCACAGGGTTATCAACTGTGAGGAAGGGGGAAAAAAACGCTTCTGCCCTTGAACTTTTGAAACACAAATAAGCAAGCAAACAAAAAAAACCCCACCCTTGTTATGTACAGCAAAAGGTATCCCAGCAAGACGCCCCGGCGGTTCTGGTGCAACCCTGATAACTGCCCCAGCGGATCTCCTCTCCCTTCCTCTCTCTCGCTGGCCAAGCAGAACAGAAAACTGATTAGTTACAGCCTATGTTAATGTGGACTCTCCGACTTTATTGCTTTGCTCCTCTCCTAGGAACGGGAAAGCTCATCATAAAGCAATTATCCCAAGTGCTGGCGCAATACCTGCGACGCACAGAAAGGAAAACAAAACCTCCTCTGAGCCTAAGGAAACAAACAAACAAAAAAACACTTCATCCTGGTCCGGGCAGCAGACCCACCAATCACATTACCCTGACGCGATCCAAAATATACTCTAAAAACAGTCAGCAGTCAAATTTCCTTCCCAATGCAGCAGTTGAGCACAGCCTGGTTTTCTTCCCACCCACCCCACCTTCGCCTCCCTTCCCCACAGCGCCACAAAGGCCACTCCAAGGCATCGCCCGCTCATTCACTCGAAGAGGCAAGGCCTCCCGGGACCCACCCGCCACCTCGACGCCTCCCCCCACCCAGGCCCTTGGCTTCGCAGTGCAACAGCACCCCCTGCAGGCACCCGGCGGCAGCATGTGCAGAGGAGGCCGGACCCCACAGTCTTCAGGGGGAGACGGAGGTGGTCTTCCTCCTCCAGGGAAGGCACTGGGCATGGAGTGGTCGAGGCAGAAAGCAGCAGGCTGGGAGGCTATGGGCGACTTAAGGCTTCTGTGACCGTGTCCGTGTCGTTCCCCCAAAGGAAGGCCCTCTGCAGCTGTCAAGGTGGGGCAGACAGAGGGGGTGGGGGGTGGGGGCGAAGCAAAGCAGACACCTCCTCTGGAGGACACGGAAAACGCGGCTGGGCTGCCTCTCCCCTCCCCCGGGGTGTGCAGAATGGAGGGAGCCGGGTTCAAGACGCAGCTTCCGGGGTCTCCAGCTGACTTTGTCTCCTGCTTCCCGTCTGGAAAGGAGTGCCGTCTTCCTTTGCGCCTTCCCCTCTGGGGTGGCTTGCTTGCCGGCGTCAGGAGTGGGCTGGATCACGCTAGGGGCCCCCCACTGTGCCGACATCCCCCTTCCAGCGGGAGCGAGTCTGAGGCCTCTGAATGACCCGCAAGTGGGACCTTCCTTGCTTCGTCCCCCGGATCTGGCCCTCGAGAGGTAGACTTCCTCCGAACACAGAGGCTCCACTTAACCACCATGGCCAATCTGCCATGAACGTGTCCAGAGTTATTTGCTCGCCTGCCCCTCGCGCAGGCCCCCCCGCCGTGTCTCCGGACCGCCTCACACCTGGTTCTCGTACTGGCTCTGCCTCTTCTTCGACTTCAGCTCCTTCAGCCACTGTGGAGGCGGGGAGGCCTCCTCCAGCCTAGAGATGAAAAAAACGACCGGCTCAGCTGTGCCAGGGAAGGGAGGAGTTTTCTTTCACACCCCCCCCCCTTGGGGACAACATTTGCAGTGATTTGCGCAGCCCTGTGCAGTGGGGGCAGAAAATGAGGAATTTCACATTACCCTTTTTAACCCGTTTTGAAGTTGTTTTTGATCCATCATGGAGTAAACCGGTATAGGGCTGCCATTTCACACATGGCTTTCCCCTTCCAGTAAAGAGCTGGATTTGCAACGGTTTGCCATTTCATACTGCACCGCTTTTTCCCCACTGTTTTTCACCCGCGTGGGTGATCTCCAGCTTTTTTTTTTAAACGTTCACTTTATAGCGCTATAGCACTATAACAAAACACTCCAGGCATTCCAATGGCGTTGATATATTGCTGTTCCGTTATAGCGTTATAGCGCTATAACGCTATAAAGCAAACTTAAAAAAAAAAAGCCGGAGATCACCCACACGGGCGAAAAACCGCGGGAAAAAGCGCATCGGAACCGGGAGAGGAAACTGAAGACTACTTGGAAGCAGTTGACAGGTAAAACGCTTCAGCCCTGTTTCCTAAACAGGACAGAAGCGTTTGTATGTGAAATTACAAATACATTCTGGTAGGGAACCGGTTCTAAAACGGTTCTGTCTGAAATGACAGACCAGAAACCGTTTGGGAACCGTTCCTATTCCGGATTATATCGCCTGTCTGAAATTCCTCAATGTGTTTGGAAAAGGACTGGGTGTCCCCACCTGGGTCACTGTTGCCAGTCTCGAGGTGGGGCTGGGAGTTCTCCCAGAATTAGAACTGATCTCTGGACTACAGAGACGAGTTCCCTGGGAGAAAATGGCCACTGGAGAGGGCAAACTCGATGGCATGCCACAGATTCTAGGCGCACCCTCCCCCACGGGCACTGCCCCCGGATCTCCAAGAAGTCCCCCGGTCAGAACTGGCAACCCTAACCTGGGTCAAGGGGGCTAGGCTCACAGGCCCTCCCACTCTGACCTAGCTGCAGCAGACAGCAGGTGGGGAAGCAAACCCAGGTGCGTGTCGACTTACACGGCGGAATTCTCCCAGCAGGACATACTAATGCAGTCTTAGGATGCATTCACAGAAGCATTGTGTCCAGATCATGGGAGGTGGTAGTTCCGCTCTATTTTGCTATGGTCAGGCCTCACCTGGAGTCCTGTGTCCAGTTTTGGTTGGGCACCACATTTGAGGAAGGGTGTTGACAAGCTCGAGCGTGTCCAGAAGAGGGCGACCAGGATGGTGAGTGAGTTGGACTCCAAGTCTTACGAGGAAAGGCTGAAAGAGTTGGTTCTGTTTAGCCTGGGAGAGAGAAGGCTTAGAGGGGACATGATTGCAGTCTTCAAGTATTTGAAGGGCCGTCATGTAGAAGATGGAGCAGATCTGTTCTCTCTTGCTCCGGATTGCAAGACTAGATCTAATGGGTGGAAATCACAAGGGAGTCGATATATTGTCTAAATATCAAGAGAAACTTCCTAACTGTCAGAGTGGTTGAGCAGTGGAACAGTCTGCCTCGGGAGGGGGTGGATGCTCCTTCGCTGGACGTTTTCAAGCGGAGGCTGGACGACCATTTTTCGGGTATGTTGTAGGGCTGTTGCAGAGTGCAGGGGGTTGGGCTAGATGACCTCTAAGCCTTCTCTTCCCCAGGCGAAACAGACCCAACTCTTCCAGCCTTTCCTCGTAAGACTTGGATACCAGCCCTCTCACCCTCCTGGTCGCCCTCTTCTGGACACGCTGGACACAGCAAGCAATTCAGAATTAGGCAGACTGGCCCAGTTCTGCAGAATCCACCTGTTCTTGGCACAGGGTATGAGAAGCAGCGTCACTGTCCCGAGCACAAACCCTGCTCACCTCTCCTCCTTCTCGGTGCCGGCCGGCAGCACTCTGACCCCGGGGCCTCCAGACTGGAACATGGATTTTGGAGACCGGGACAGCTGCACGGCACTGATGTCCCCGGCTCCCTCCGGCTCTTGTCTCCTCCTCAGCTGAGCCTAGAAGGGAGAGAGAACCCCTTGTAAATCTCTCAGCTGGAGGAGAGCACCGAAACATGGCAAACATGGAACCCAGGACCGAGGCGCTCATGCGCGAGAACGGAGAAGCCGCGCTGTGAAGCATCCCACGCAACCCTGCAAAGAAGCCCACCAGGACCACCTCCCCTGCATGAGCCTTGCCACTCACTCCAGCCCCCGTCGGAGGCCCGGTGTGGGTTGCCCCGCCTGCTGGAGCTAGCAGGAGAGGGTCTTCTTGGTCGTGGGACCAAAACCTTGGAACGCCCTCCCTCCGCCTTCTGCCAGAGGGTGGAGATGTCTTGGTTTCCTCTTCTCCATACCCCAAATAACAAAGAACAACGACTGAGAGTCCCATTCCATCTCGTAATACATTGAGGCAGCCTTTAGTAGTGCTGATCAGAGGTAAGGAGACCTTGCCCAATGGTGAAGTAACAGAAAAGCATTATCTGAAGTCTGAAACACTGGGAAAAAATTACCTAGGAAAAGTGTTGGGACTTTTTGGATATTTATCTTGTTTATTTATTATTTGGTTTCTGCATTTTCCTATTATGGGTTATATGGATAGATTTATTCCAGACCAATATATGCATTTCACTTTGGTGACATCTCCTTTGTGAATATTTTGGGGGAAATACAGCTCACAGTTGTTGTTTTTTTGTTATTCTTTGCTATTTTTTTTACTGTGTGCAGTGTTGTTGTTGTTGTACACCCCAAATAACTGCCATTCGCCCTCTTCCCTGACTCTGACAAGTTTTCATTGAATTGTGTTAATGTTCCTTTTAATTGCTCAAGCATTTTAATGCTCTTACGTTTGCTGCCTAGGGGACCCTGATTGGATGGAAAGGGAGCATAACCAAAGTTTAGAATAAAGAAGTACTCAAAGACCCAGGTGATGGTCTTTGGGAAGTGGCGGCGCATTTTTAGATGGACAGTGGATGGGCTTCCGATAAACCAAAGCCGAGCCTTTAAATATCTGGGCATTACATTCTGTGACACACTTTCCTGGAAGGAACATACTGATATTATAAAATCAACAGCAGTTCGGGTTATGGGGGCAATCCTTAAATTCTACCATACTAAAGGGGGATATCAGATAGAACCAGCCTAAAGCTATGGTGTCAAGGTTTGGGGATGGAATGATTCCCTGATCACAAATTTGGAGAGAGTTCAACATCTTTTCCTAAAAAGGCTGTTAGCACTTCCCCCAAACACTCCAGCTGCACTGTTGAGGGCTGAAGTGGGTCTTCCCCCTCCCTTCGGGCTCATAAATCTTTTTCAATTATCGGCACAGACTGAAAAGGGCTCCAGCAGACAATCCTGCCAGCCTTTGTTTCTGTGAAAGCTTGAAAGACCCCAACTGGCAATCTAAGTATAATATGGTCCTCCAGACATAAACATTGTCCGTGGATCCTTTCAGGCCGATTTTGATGGCAAGGTGCAGATATACACACATGATGCTGGTCTAGATAGAGAAGTTATACTAAGAAATAAAACATCTCCTTGGTATAAACTGATTAAAGTAGATCATTGCAGGGCAAATTATCTGACTAAAATCTCCTTCATTAACCTGTGTTCAGCCTTTACATCCCTCCGCTTCCAAACTATGCAGACAGCAGTGCTTGAAGGCCGATATCTCAAAACACCAGCCACTGAGCGCCTTTGTCTATGCGGTGGCTCAGTCCCTGAAGGATCTGTGCCGTTACCTCCTGGACTGCCCACTTTATTCACTCCCAAGAAAGAAGTTCCTTGGCACAATCTTAGATAAATTGGGCCCAAGCTCCACATCTGGAAAAGTTTTAACTTTACTTTTAGAGGTGGAGCCAGAGTATTCGTACAAGGTTGCACTCTTTGCCCTGGCAGCAAAGAAAATCCGCATCGAGGTGACCAAATCCTCTCCAGCTAAATAGCCAGGGCTATGTCAAGAAGAAGAAAAAGGAGAGATTGGGTTTATACCCCTTGCCCTTCACTACCCAAAGGTGTCTCAGAGCGGCCTACAAACTCCTTTCCCCTTCCCCTCCCCACAACAGACACCCTGTGAGGTAGGTGGGGCTGAGAGAGCTCTGACAGAAACTGCTCTCTTTCAAGAACAGCTCTTATCAGAACTATGGCTTGCCCAAGGTCATCCAGCAGGTGCAAGTGGAGTAGTGGGGAATCAAACCCCGTTCTCCCAGATTAGAGTCTGCGCACTTAACCACTACACCAAACTGGCTCCAAACTGGTCAAGGTATTTAAGGTCCCTTTTAGTAATCTTACCCCAAACCCTGTTTTTATTCTGTATGTTCTAATTTTTATCTTGTATTATTTTAACCAGTTTTATGACAGACATATAGACCTTTACTCTCTGTGTTTTAACGCAGATCCTATTCTGCATTTTATAACTCTTTTGTATTGTACTGTACTTGTAACGGCCATTGGCCATATGCAATAAATAGAACTGAACTGAATAAAGAAGAGGAGATTGGATTCATACCCTGCCCGTCACTCACAGTCTCAGAGCGGCTTACAAACTCCTTCCCCTCTCCACAACAGACACCCTGTGAGGTTGGTGGGGCTGAGAGAGCTCTGGCAGAAACCGCTCTTTTTCCAAGAACAGCTCTGACAGAACGATGGCTTGCCCAAGGTCATCCAGCAGGTGAAAGTGGAGAAGTGGGGAATAGAGAACGAAAGTTCCTGGGCAAGCATGTTCTGCGGGACACGTTAAAGCACCGCGCTTTCAGTCCTCCTGCCTCTGCTGTTTAGACACGACCGAGGACCCCCCATCCTTGGCTGAGGGAAGGGGCTTCCCAAGAGCAGCAGGCAGCCACTCTCCCACAGCCCCCCCCGCCATTTGGGGAAAGTGGTCCAGCTTCCAGCCGAGGGCTTCCAGGCACCCCTTGAATGCCCCCTTGGAACCCTACCGATCCCCTCCCACCCTGCAAAGGTCCTCCCCATGAGTGGGCGGGGCCCAATGACCCACGTGAGCAGGGCTCCCATCAGAACGGTTGGAGGTCAGCGCTGGAGCACGCTGCCA